AGCTTAAGTCTTTTGCAGTGTCTGAAACGCGTGACAACGTAGAGTGGTCTCCCTCAGCTTCTGGCGATGAGGGCTTGGGAGTTGGGTGACGTGAACATTTCGTGTTGTGGTCTGCCCCGAGTTGTGTGGAGTGCGAGGTCTCGCCCAATGCTGCTTGCAGCTTTAATTATTTTTTTTTTTTTTGCCTTTTATTGCCTTTATTATAGTGACAGCCAAGGATAGACAGGAAAGGGGGGCAGAGAGAGGGGATGACCTGCAGCAAAGGGCCGCAGGTCGGATTCGCCAGCTCTACCGACTATATATATATATATATATAGTTTTAAGAATTCTTTTCAAGCAAAACTGGTTACCACACAGGCTGATTTGTTTTTGCTCAATACAAGAACATTTGATTATGTTTAATAATATACTGAGTAACTTGAGTTTTTACTTGTCAGACATCTGTTTGGTACCCTTTTAAAATGCTATAGAGAATATTGTATAATTTATACTATAATCTGTAAAACAGAAATGTCTTACTAATGTTTACTACCTGTATTAAGAACTACTCGCAAAACCCTTTCACATTTTTATACTCAGGATGTTAAATTATTAAAAGAGCCACTGAGTTCTCTAACCATATGTGTGCAGTCAACCTCTCTACTACTACTTTACATACACTGACTTCATTTCTTTATATGTGAGGCCAAGGTCAAAATAAAAATCTATGAGCCTCTCCTTAGTTTGCGGTTTCCCAAACGACACACATAAAGAAGTGCTTTGACCCTTGGTTTTTCTCGGAGTATTTTTATGCATCCCCACCATGATAACTGTCTATCTCATTCTTGTGAATGCATCTCAGGAACGCCCCAAGTGAATTTCTTTAAATTTTGGACAAACCTCCACTTGGACGCAAGGATGAATTCAGCTCAATAAAGTGACCAAAATTCTTATTTCAAGAAAGTTTATCTTAAGTAACTGAGTTGTCATTACTTGTAATAAGCCCATTACAGTCTTTCAATGGCTAGATTTCTATGCAAGTTTTAAGAATTTTAGCCAAGCAAAATTTGCTTACACCATTGTTTTTTTTAATCTAAAGAACATTTGACTAAATTTAAGAATATATCAGGCTTGTTTCTAAAAGGGCTGTTTTTGCAGTGAAGTGATGTAGTTCTTATGATATTAATAAAGTTGAAATAAATGAAAGGCACCATTGAGAAACCAGTTTTTTCATTGTTTTAGCAATTAAATCAACACTATCATATTAAAGATCTACTTAACTGTGTTTTATCTGTTCTCTTCATTTTAGCTGCATTATGCAAATACAGTACGTCTGAGGCGGTGTATCATCATGTCTTCCAATGTTAACTTCATTGTGTTGTTATTTAACCTCACCTGATTAGGCCTGAAAAAAAATTGTGCAATGACAAGAAACAAAATTCTGAAAAAACATTTATTGGCTCTACTATACAATAAAAAAAACAATAAAATAGAAATTGATCTTTCACTGTAAAACTCTAAGTCAGAACTCCAAGTCTTTCCTAGGGATTTATAAAAATTCTTTCAAAAGCACCTGCATTATCTCAAACATGCAGGGCAGTCAGTCTTAAGTAGTTCTTACTTGCATATAACAAAAAATATAAAAAAGCAAGTCAAGTAGAAAAAGAAAAACATTTTAGTTCTGTTCTAAATTAGCAGATTAATCTTATTGGTCATGCATTAGCCAGGGTTATCAGCTGTCTGACTTTATCAAGCTGCCAAAGTAAGCTGTCACTGTCTTCAGCTTGTTGTTAAGTAAATTCTGCTCCACCTCCACCTTCCCTCCTGGACCAGCCAGAGAGGCGATCTGTGGGCACATGGAGAGAATATATCAGACAATATATCAGACAATATATCAGACAGGTATTGCTCCATTCCCTTAAAGCTGCTGAGGAAAGACACGTTGTGTTGTGGCTGCAGTTTCCGTAACGTTCAGAATAAAATGGACTTATCTGGTATGGTATTCAAGGACCTGCGGTGTTGGAACCCTGTTGTTTTTGTTCAGATTATTAGGGATCTCCTCCTAAACCGCATGTCCAATTGCTACCAAATCTTCTATGCATCATCATCATTGGACCAAGTTTTTTAAAAGCTGTATGTTGTATGTTGATATCTTTTTTGTATATGCTGAGCAAGGGCATTGCTCAGCATATACATAGACATAAGTCAGCAACCGTTGGGTCAATCATCACAAAACTCACAGAATATGTCCACATAAGTACCTAAAACATACCCTGAAACCTAAGTTTCAATCAGGGGAAAGAAATGGGCACACCACTCATGCACAAAGACAGTGACCTTACAGACCTGATCCATGTCAGTGTTGCGAGGCAGAAAGTACACAATGTTGTCTGATATCAGCTTGGCCAGGCGGAAAATCTTAAATGTGTGTACTGTTAAGGATGAAAACCAACGTTAGATATAAGTACAATCCACTTTTTAAAAACAATTATATTTTAGGCTGCACTTCAGATTGAAGGGACAGTCAAATTAGATGTGTATACTTCTGTGACATTTTCTCATGGAGTGTCAAAAATAAAAGGGGTCTACTGTGGGAATCAAGTTTTTTTAGCCTTTTTAGCCTGAATAATTTCATATTGAGTATCTGCTGATACCGAGATTTTAGATAATACAGTGCACAGCGCACACACTTTAAGTACATTACAGTTATTAAAATTAATCCAGTGCTTAGAATTTAATAGTTTTTTGTTTATTATGTACAAAACAAAACAAAAGTATAAAATAGCAAACCCTCTTATCTTTTTGAACATGTCGCTGTCTGGAGGGAGTTTCTCCCCCTAGTTTAGTGCTTCGGTGCAGCTTTTACCTGAGTTAC